GCTGAACCGAGGGGCACTGAGCTAAACCGGCAGTTGCTCAGTCACCGTTACGCCAGACCAGCTCCTGCTCCAGCAGGAAGCTCCACAGCACGGAAGAGCAGCAGCAGCTCGTTCAGCACGGCAGCTCTCTGTACCCAGCTACGTTAGCAAACTTTGGAAAGATTTTTGCCTACAGAACCACAGGGTTATTTCCATTTACCGCGGGTAAAGCTGGCCTTTGGCACGGGCTTTTCCCCTGAAGTATTCTTATCACTAATTGTGAACGGCAGGACTTCTCTGCAACGAAGACTGGGAATCTTCATGCTGCTCTAAAGTTGCACTGATCCTTTTGTTTGATGCCAGAACACCAAGCAAGCAGATACAAACTCATGCACCCAGGCAAACAGTGATGCACTCACATTCCAAGCAGTTAAGTCCCATCATCCATCTAATCAAATAAGCAGAAAGTTAGCTTTTTAAAATAAAAATACTCAACATTTATTCACAATTTGAAATCACCATAGTAAAATTGTACAAGCTATAAGCAACCTAGGAACATCAAAAGCTACCAGAAACATAAGGCAATTTGTACAACCATTGAAAGAAATACACAGCATGAGTGAAATGTTACTCCAACAAGACAATGCTTGATACACACTAGAGTGATACGAACCAGCATTAAAAATTAAGTTCTAAACAAAAATAAAGATGTCATGGCTACAAGTATTAAATGGTGATAAATACTTCAAAAATATATTAAGATATATGGAAATTCTCATTTTGTCAGGGAAATCCAGAGAAATTCCAGCCTTCACTGGATTTCAATATACCAATTAAGGTTTAACATTTAACTTCCGTTCAATAAGAACTGGTACTGCAGCCATTACTGTTCTGTATCAATAGTCATCTTCTTGTAGTGTAGTGAAATCAGCCTTATGTTATTATTAAGCCATGTCTCTCACATCACGAGCACTGAATCGCTCTAAATCAACCAATGAGTTGCCTTTCAGTAACAAGTGCACTGCATTTGAAGCTACAAATCATGTTACATCACAGTCGGCGTCAGCCCACTTTCCAGCATTAATAAAAGTTGAGTTCTGAGACTTGCCTCCAATTAAATAACACATCTTGAACAGAGGATTTAGTTTCAAGTCCACCACAACTCATCCTAGCATAACATTGAGCACAGTACAAGAATCATGGTAATGTTTGAGTTACACCTTTAAAAAGAAAGTCCAAAGGATGTTTAGAGACAACGGGTTTTGAACATGCACAAATGGTGGTTTAGTACACATCTGTTTGTGCCGTTACTGGGTAGCGAGTGGAGCAGTTCATAGCCAAGGGTCTGGTAAGAGAGTCGTCCAAGCCAGTTTAAAAATATAAACTTCTTCTTATAGGGTCTGTTCTATAGAAAATAGAATCAAATCTGGAAATTGTCAGTTTTGAGAGTACTTTCCCATTGCAAGATCCATCCGTCAGTCTACCGCACCACCAAGAGAAAAGCTAATCCTGCTATTCCAAACCCTGCTGCTGCCATTATTGCATTGCTTATGGTACTGTTCTGTTCAGCGGGTTGAGAGTCCTGTCTGAAGAAGTGATGGAAGCCATCCTAGAAAAGCAAGAGAAAGGAACGTTGAGTTGGTTGGCTTACAATTAGTCAGATTTAGCAGATCCCTGAGTTCATATTCAAAGCACAGCGTTTGTCGACTCTAGAGTTATCTCGACTTTAATCACAAAAGCCTAAGCCCTGCTGTCCTCAGCACTCAAAAAACGCTTTGTGCGAGCCTGTGCTGTAGCCTTCCCACAGCATGACCGAAAGTAGTAGCTACAGAGTATTTGCAACTTTGCTCAAATTCAAGTGCAAACTTCCTATTGAGAGACTCAACATGTCATTACACTATTTTTACCCTTTTAAGCAAGTTTCTGACCAGAGCTGCCAGCATTGTTTCCCCTCATTCAATCTTCATATCGCATCTGAAACACAGGATAAGGAAATCTCCACTGGAAAGGCAGGCATCTGAGGCCGGTCCCATCGCGGCCAAGGCACGACTCCGATTACGTATCCCACTTGGAAGGGCCTAGTGGCCGCTGCTCAGCGCTGACCTATGACAGAGCGAAGCTGGCAGCTGCTCGACCAGATCTTTATTTGTGATAATCAGAAGTGGCAGTAACGCAGCTCCAGATGGTCGTGTTTGAACTCTGTTCGGCAGATGTCTATGTAAACAAGTTATACTCTTAATTTCTTCCGGAACTTTGTTCTTTACACTTTAATTTGTGCGAACAGGTAATGTGATTTTGCTAAATGATAGTTTACTTTGTAGCCAACCACCATATTGTTCTTAACATTTAACATTCGGATGCACAAGTGACCACTGAAAAAAAAACAAGTTAATTTTGGTCACTGGATAAATCGAAGCCAACTCTTCCCCCCTCCCCGCCCTATTTTTAGTCCTTATTTGTACTGGCATAAAATATTCCACTAGTCTTAAAAATAGAGAATTTGAAATTCTGGGGGATAGCTGATATTTTGTTCAGACATAGACACAGCTGGACACACACCTTCAACATCATGCTTCCAATATGCAACCCAAATGGGAAAAAATAAGCAATAGCAGCCACTGCTTTATGTCACAGTATGCAGAGATCATGGCCCCCAGCCTGACCATCAGTTTTAGAACTAGTGGGAAGCAGAGCAGGAAACCTACAGGACGGGTAGCTTAACACACAAGCATATCTAGGAACAGGCACATCAGTATTTTGGGTTTATACTTTGGAGAACACAGATATGCATCAGGCTGCTCTCTAAAATCCAGCCATGCAGATCTCCAGAAATAAACCTTGGCTCCCAGAACTCAGCAGCATCACCTCTATATTTCGTTAGGGGCCACTGGGCCTAGGAGCACCTCTTAAGTACTCTAATATATGCTCGCTGCATATTGCTAAGAACTAATGACACGCAGGTGGGGCCTGAAGCCTTCCCCTCACCTGCAGGCACCTCGCCAGCAGCGCTGCATCAAGCCCATCGCTCCGTACACGAGCGGCTTTCCTTGCATCCCTGACTGAGCTGCAGTGAGCACCACTTAGCTAAGGGGAGGACAGGACTGACAAGACCCCGGCATTCATTCCCATGTCTCTTGCTGAGGCAGCGCCGGAGGCTGGAGCTGCTCCGGGGCTCTCCCCACCAAGGGCAGGAGCTGGGGCTCCTCTGGTGTCCCGAGACTTCACTGTATGTTTCAGAGCAAGGTGAGAGCTTACCCGCCGACGTGGTCGTGTCTAGCAACTAACCCTGAAACACCTTCAGAGGATACAGCAGCAGCATCGCCCTGGTCCCGCACGGGGGCTGCAGAGCAGGATACCCGGGTGACACACACACCCACACCTCGCCCTCCGTGAGACACGTAGGCAGCGAGCGCCGCTGCACCGACGGGCTGCCAGCTGCCCGGGCAGGCCTGGCAGCACCCGGTGACACGCGTCCCGGAGCGCCCGGCGCCCGGGAGGCAGCGCAGAGCTCTCCGGTGGAACAGACGTGCCACGCAGGGCTGGAAGGCAGTACCCAAGCCGGCTCCGCCATGCGTGCAGACGCAGCAAGAGCGATGAGGGGACTGCAGCGCAGGGATGTGGCACGTTTAAACCCCCTTCCCAGCCTGCAGAGGCTCCTCCTTGTGCCTAGCTTTAAACGCTGTAAGCGTTTTTTTAACCGAAGGCAGGCACAAATTTCACAAGACAGTGCACAGTTTTACGCAACGTTAACTGCTATGCAAGCAGCGCTCGAGCTTCGCTAGACGTGCTCATCCTCTCCTGCACGTCCCCACCACATCCAAGGAAGGCAGAAACCCCCTGCCCCCCACACCTGCCATAACCCCATAACCCCCCTCGGGCAGCGCCTT